CTCCTGCTCCTGGGAAGATTCAGGATCCTGATTAGGAGCAGGGGGAGGCTCTCACCATTCCTCCTCAGTGCAGCTCTCCTCAAACAGTCCCTGACAGGCTGTTCCTCAGGGGTAGAGTGCAAGCTTTGCCAGAGAAGGTCCCAGGTTCAATCCCTGGCACCTCCATGTTGGACTGGAAAAGGCCTATGTCTAGAACCCTGGAAATGTGCTGCCAGTCACTGTAGACAATACTGAGCTAGACGCACCAAGGGTCTCAGTTGGTGTAAAGTTGTGGGTAGACATAGCAGACGACACAGCGATTCCTTCAAAGCAGCTCTTTATTTGTAAGCTGGAACAGAACTGACTGAGGAGCTCAGTCAGCCTGCTTATATAGAGCTCCAGAACAATGTAACTGTTGCCATTTTCTAAAACTATCCAATCACTGAATGTCACTTTTGATCCTTCATTTGCATACAAACTATCCAATCACTGAACGTTACTTTCGATCCTTCATTTGCATAACTATTTACAGTATCCCCTGCTGGCCCAGGGTGAGAACTTCAGTACATAACAGTTGGGATAATGCATCAACACTTTGAGATCATTAAAAACAACAATATTTTGGACAGCGAAGTTTATTTGCTTGTTTATTTTAATTTATTCATCGCTTTTATACAAGAAAAGAATCTCAACATGATAACCAGCAGCTTGCATTTTCTGTGGTGAGAAAAGTCTTCAATTTAATTTGACTACTTTCACAGAATCAGTCTAAATTATCTATTTCCTTAGCTTAACATGCAGTCACACAAAGTTGTTTCATGCTACTGAAATACTCCCATTTCCTTGCTCATGCAAAATAATACACACCGCAAATATCAGACTACAGTTATTCACATGTTGGACTCTGTTGGTTTATTATATTTATACCATGCTTTTCAGCTACGATAGAGTCCCAAAGGTGTGACTGGGTCACAAAAAGGTGTAGTTTACTAGAATGTGGTGGTGTTTTGGGCCTTGGCAGTTGATGTCATAGTCCAGGTTCTAGAAGAATGGTCAGTTTCATTTGTCAACATCTGCTGTTTAAGTTATGATTTATGTATTTTTTTGCATTCATAATCTGAATAAGTTCCAAGCAGGTTCATTTATTTATTTTACAATATTTGCATACTGCATGATTGTAATAAAACCTCAATGTGGTTTATGCACAGTAAGCCCCCAACTTATATCTTCTGGGGTCCGCTATCCAGTTCATTAACGTTATGAAAATGCACCGAGTTTCCCTCTGGGCTCATAGGCTTCTCCTCCAGTGTGGCTTCAAAAAAGAGTGTGGAAACATTCACTTCTGTTTTAGATTAAACACAGCTTGCCATGTCAACTTAACCTGCACAAACTGTGGTTAATCTTAGCTATGGTTATAGGAAACAAGCTGACTTCAAAGTTATGAAGCTGGTTGGCTTCCACCCAACTTAGTTAAAAATAACTGCACTTGTGCAAACTCCACTAGTAAACATATTGTTGTTGTTTAGTCGTTTAGTCGTGTCCAATTCTTTGTGACCCCATGGACCAGAGCACGCCAGGCACTCCTGTCTTCCACTGCCTCCTGCATTTTGGTCAGACTCATGTTGGTAGCTTTGAGAATACTGTCCTACCATCTCGTCCTCTGTTGTCCCCTTCTCCTTGTGCTCTCCATCTTTCCCAGCATCAGGGTCTTTTCCAGGGAGTCTTCTCTTCTCATGAGGTGGCCAAAGTATTGGATCCTCAGCTTCATGATCTGTCCTTCCAGTGAGCACTCAGGGCTGATTTCCTTAAGAATGGATAGGTTTGATCTTCTTGCAGTCCATGGGACTCTCAAGAGTCTCCTCCAGCACCATAATTCAAAAGCATCAATTCTTCGGCAATCAGCCTTCTTTAAACATATAGCAAAATACAATGTGAAGGCATTCCAGGGTCAATCTGGCTTTTTGCTTGAATTGCCATATACTTCTCATCCTCTGCATGCATATATTCTCCATAACCACTCCTGCTCTCCTCAACTGCTATTAGATAGTTCTATTGAAAGAGCTGGTGATTCAGCTTGAATATGTTAAGCCACTGAGTCAGAGCTAAAATGTGCTGTAGTGTGTCTTGACAGATTAACTCAGTGTTGCTCCAAACTGCCAGTGTTTTCATGGCATCTACTACTTTGCGGGGGGTGGGGGCACCCATTCTGTAGGCCCTGTAGCAAATATCCTTTATTTGAACTCCCAGTTGTTGCTTGTGGTGCTAACACATGTGCATCACACTTAAGATCAGACACTGGGAGCAACTGATTCGCTCATTAATAATAATTTACATAATTGCCTGACAGTGAACATCCTTTGAAAGTTCTCTTTAATTGATTCTTCAGGAGTCTCACTCCCCATTTTCTCCCCCCCCAGCAACACTTTTCAACATGGTTGCTTTGCTTTCATTAAGTTTGTAATATTTTCATGTGTTTAGCGTTTTGATTGGGAAGACGGAAAGGGAAATGATCTTGAGAGGAGATATAAAAAACTGCCTTTAGGTTGCTTCACATGTGACAAAATTTGCAGGTATGCTGTGTATATTATCCACAGTGTATCCAATTATATGGGAAAGACAAACACCTTCCTATTTTGAAATTATATACCACAGTCCTTTGGGCATGGGCACTGATATTTTAAAATAAATTCTTGTCCCTCACAACATCTTCATGATCATCATTAATTACCCCACACTGTAAAGAAACTTTCCCAGGGTGGTTTTACAGTAACAACAGTAATAAAATCTAAAACAGCAGCTGGCAGAGCCGCATGAAAATCAATTACAGGACATCAAAATAATGGGAGGAACTTTGTTTGTAAACCGCTTTGAGGTCTGTTTGCTCCCCGCCCTGCCCCAGCCAAGCAGTGTATAAATTCTGTGAAATAAATAAATACTCAATTAAGTCATACTCAGATTATACCCCCTGAAATCAATGGATTTCCATTAATTTTAATGAGTCTACTCTGAGTATTGCATTGAATATTACCCTATATCCAATCTGGGGGCTTCTATTGCAGAAATAAACAATTCTAGTGAAAGGCAGATTTCTGGCTAAAACTACCCACTTATATTTACAGCCTCTTAGTGACTTGTACTTTAAAGATGCTGAAGTACTTTATCTTCCTTTAAGAGTACTCGTTCCAAAGTGGTTAAAAACCAGAAATAACCACCAATTACCCATTCATTAAATCATGTTTACCACCTTTTCCTAAGGTAATTACACAATTACAACATGGTCGTTTATGGCCTGTAAACACAGAGTCTGTGTTTATAGCCTTCCCTATAAAAGCTGGTAGAAATGTCAGAGGTTAATTGTCACCATGGCATGATGTTTACAATGGGATACATTTTGGCCTGGAAGAAACGATGGTGATACAATCATGCAGATTTTGCTCTTGCCAGTTTATTTCCTCAGCCTCTGATCATTAATTTCAAACTTATATCATTCAATGTGATTTTCTTGAACAGAGTACTTTTTGAGTTTTAAGTTTTCTCATTTGCTCTTGTGGGTCAATCTGCTTTAAAATGATCCTCCCCCAAAGTATGGCTCATTAATTGATTGCTTTAAAAAGACATTAGTAGAAGTGAAGAGAACAGGAAAAAATAACAGGGTGGTTTAGCGGAGGCGGTAAGAGAATAAAAACACCCCTTAGGTGGCAGTAGTGAGGCTCAAAGTAGGAGAGGCTAGCTTAGCTGGTTTGCCTGCCTCTCCTCCCTCTCACAGTAAGGCCCACAGCCCATGCTGTTATATGTAATAGTAAAAAGCAAGATATCAATAAAACCAACAATAATCTAAAAAAAAAAGGATGAACATAGAACAACTTAAACATGTTCAGTTCACTGAAATAAAGCCTATCTCTCTTTGCATTTTCAAAATGGCCCCCCCCGAGGTTTGCCGTTGCCGTGGCTATTACTTGTGACAGACCAGTTCTGTTCTGTCTATCAAGGGAAAGTACATCACAGGAGAGGAAAAGCACTGACAGCTCTGTGTTTTGTTGTATTTATTTTGCACGGTGCGCTGTAGTTCTTTATTGTCATCTTAGATGAGGCAGATCAGATAGAGAATGGCAAGGTGCATATTAATCATAGCTTGCCGTCTGAAAAGCGAACCAAGCCACCCTGTAGTCTCGGATGCATGTCTGTCACATGCCAAGATGATTTAGCCCTTTTCCACGTGCTTATGAAACTGAACATATTTTTCTAGAGCCCTTTTAACCTTAATACGCTTAGCACAATCCATCATAGCAGAACTCAGGGGCCTTCACTTTATTTGTTAGAATCCCAAAACTTCAACAGTATTTCTTCAGTCAAAGGAGACAATAATGAAAATGCACTGGCCCCAGTATGGAGACCTATGTGAACCGATGCGTACATTCACCTGGGCTTCCATGCTCTTGATAGGCCAATCTCGTTGCCCCTGCCTCACTGGAATGGAAACCACATGCTGTTGTTGTAGCTTTAAATGCAGTGCTTTTTTTCCTGGGGGGTACGCAGGGGTACGCATACCCCCTAAACATTTGTGAATCTAAGTTTGGCCTCATTGAGGGGCAGCATTTCAATATGAGTAGGAAAATGAGAGTACCCCTAAACATTTTTTTAAAAGAAAAAAAAAACCTGTTTAAATGTATAAGGGAGAAGGGCTGTGATGCATTGGCTTTGTATACAGAAGGTTCCAGGTTCAATTCCTGGATTATCCAGGTGTGTGTGTGTGTGTGTGTGAAATGCTGCTATCTGAAGCCCTAGAGAACCTCTGCTAAAAACGTGTCAACAGTGCTGGGCTAGATGGATCAACAGTCTGACTCAGTGGAAGACAACTTCCTATGATCTTTATCCTTTTTACCCTGTTGCTGTGTGGAAGTACAAACTGCTTTCCTTTAAAGCATGCCAGGAAAATTATAATTCTGCATTGCACTGAGCTGAAATGAGAGATTCCTGTTTGCAAAGTGGTTCACCTGCTCTAACGTGCTCCTTCCCTCCAGTTTAGGTCATCTACGTGGGACCAGTTGAAAATGGACAATGTTCAACTCCACTGAAGTGGGTGCAGAGTGCAGTCCCTCCACCTCACTCTTTACAATTGCTTTGCCCAGAGAGAGGGATGAGACCCTGACTTCTCAGTAAACATTTCCTCCCTGAGGTGAGTGCTGTCCCTTTGCAGGGAAAAAAAAAATGTCCCCCCCCAAATGTTACCTTTTTGCTGTGAAAAACAAATCCTGAGAAATTTAATTTGGTATTTCACACAGTTCTAAATTGCCCTTATTTACAGCTTCTAAGCAGCAACTGAAAGAGTAACTTCTTAGAGCCTCCATTTATGCTTGTATTCATGTGTTGCACAGTTCTCATGGGATTATACCACTGTAGAACACACTGATCCATTTGCTTCTCTAAATGCAGCCTCATAGCAAAACTTTGCCTCCCTGAAAAGTGTACGGAACACACTTACGTCCTATTAGATATTATAGCTGTCAGGGGTTCAGGGAGAGAGGCACAGATGAGGGAGGAGACTGAGAGCGAAGGGGAAGAATCCCGGAATGAGGAGGAGGAGGATGACAATGACTTGAGGGTTTCCATGAGTCTTTCAAGTGAATCAGAAGATTCCCAAAAGGGGGCGCCCCTGGTCAGGCCAAGGGGAGTCACAGGGGGGACTCGTCAGGAGCAGGGGAGCAGCAGGGAAACCCCGAGTGGGAGTTGGAGATCGGGGCCGGCTTCCCCGCCGGAACGGAGTGAAGAGGGTGGAGTTCCCAGTGTGACAGACGAAGCAGAGCAGGAAGCAGAGGGGGGAAGGAGATCGGGGCAAGACGTCCTGCCGGAAGGGGCGGAGAGTAGTACAGAGAGTAGTGTAACTGTCAAGAGGAAGGTCAGAGGTAGCGAACGCGCGCCAAGTTCAAATGTGGAGGCGCGCGGAAATGCGGAGAGCCCGGAGGAGGAGCCTGGTCCCAAAGCACGGAGGAGGGGGGAGCAGGCGTCTGGGGACTCAGCGTCAGGGGAATCCAGGAGGGGAGGAACCCAGGGGGGCAGAAAGACCCTGCGGAAAAGGAAGGACAGGAAGAGGTGGACCAGCACAAGCCTCTTAAACTGGTGTAGAGGCGGGACTGATTCAGAGGGGACTTCAGCGGTCTAAGCGTAACAGACGTGGGGCTGCGCGCCTCGGCTGTGGAACAAACAATGAACTTCAATAAAGACTTTTGTAAATAAAGTGGACTTGGCGTTGGTCTCTTGTGACCTGGGACCTGAGGCGGCCCTGACAACAGCAATGTTCTTAGTTTGTTCCCTCAGCTATATCTTGTGCCTGTTCCTAGAAGGGTATTACTGATTCCTAAGGGTTTTGTTTCGGTATAAATACATTATTGCTAGTAAGGCCATTTTTAGCCAGACTTGCAGAATAACTTCTAGCTGACAGTGTCTTTGCGCGCAAAGGTGCTCACTACAATCCATTTCGGGTGAATTTTGTCCTTGCACATGGGGATGAATGTATTAGGTTGCCCTGTCTCAGCTAAATTTGTCCGTAAAGTGATTTCTGAGCAGTGTTTTCCTCTTCTCTGTAAGTGTATTCATCTGCTAAAGGTCACTGCTCTAGGTCTCCATGAAGTTAAATGAAACTAAAAAGCTTCTCTCCCAGCAATTGTATGGTTGTTTTATGAACTTATTAATTGGGATGATCTTCCCCATGCTTAACATAATAGATTAACCCAAGAATTCTGAATTACTGATGAAACAGCACTTCAGACAGAAATGCATGCTAAGCACAATCTCCAAATCTGAGAGCGACAAAACATCTATATTTTTTTCTAATGGGTTTGACAGTTTGGAATATAATAACCAAACCAAATGTGGCACAATGTGTTTTTTGTCTTTGATGGTTTCATGTTGGAAAAATTAGTGCACCGGTTTAGGGACAGGCAAATCTGGCAATTTTGGTTTCTTACTTTCTCATTTTACCAATCTTAAGTTCAATTCTCCACATGATATGATGGATATAACACTATGCCAGGGATCATGGTTTGTTTTCTCCATGTGCTAGGGGGGAGGAGCGAAACAGCCCATATCAGTGCATTTGCAGTAACTCATAAACCATGGTTACTGGACCATTGACAGTTGCAAGAAATTCCAGGGTACCCATGAGATTGCATCTTGGACTGTTGCTGTACCATTTACTTTTTGGTAGACTGCTTTTTTGTGTCTTAACCATAGCATTTGCTATTTCATAGCAAAAACGGCCATTTATTTAGAAGAATGTGCTCCATAACCCTCTGTGAATAAACTTCTCTGTTTATCACATCATTAGGTCAACTTTGTGCAAATGATTTAAGGTGTCAGTAATGTGTTTTGGCAAGACAGCTGCGTGTCACTGTAATTGTATTCTTTAGCCACATGAACCAAGAGCAAGGAATATTGCTTTGCAGTATTTAAACCTGCAAAATATTGGTACTTTGGAAACGAGTATGCTCATAAACCTGTTTATAAAGCTATATTTCACATTGGAGAAAATCTGCAAGATCAGTTTAAGGACTACTATAAATGGACCCTGCTTTGGGCACTGACAATTTCATATAAACCGGGTGCTTTTTTTCTGGGGGGATGCAGGGGTACGCATACCCCTAAACATTTTGTGAATCTAAGTTTGGCCTCATTGAGGGGCAGTATTTCAATATGAGTAGGAAAATGAGAGTACCCCTAAACATTTTTTTTTAAGAAAAAAAGCACTGTATAAGCCTATAGCCACAAGTATTTATCCATTAATGAGGAAATACCAATCAATTGGGTGGAAACATATTTCCCTGCCTTTTTGAAACCATCAGGAATAAGTATGCAGTTTTTGACATGAAGCAAAAAGCAATTGTTAAAGTGTCTCAAGGGATCAAATAGAAATGTGTGGCAAATTGGTTTGTACTTCTCCATTCACCACCTCACCATCACGGCTTTGATAGAGCAGTCCTCCATTAATTGGTCTAAACCCTTTTAAATAAGTATGAAACCATAGGGATATGCCCTACTTGTGAACACTCTGAAATTATATCTACATATAAAAAAAAAATTAAAAAATTAAATCAAAGACCACTAACTAATCATTGGGGGGGGGGGGAGGAAATGTTCTTATTTATTTATGTGAAATGTATTTGAGCTAGTTGCAAACTACTTCATAGTGTCTGAACCTTTTTCAACAAACCTGGATGACTTTAACAGAAGATTAGACAAATTCATGAAGGATATGGCTCTCAGTGGCTCCTAGCCATGTTCTGCCTCCATCCTCAGAGGCATAGCTGTCAACTTTCAGATTTGAAAATAAGGGATCAGCAGCCTCACCTGTCCTGGAGACAGTCTATGGGATATCTAACAATCTGGGATAGCAGCGGGAAGCAGCGGGAAACGGCACTGGAATAAGGGAATTTCCCGCAAAAAAGGGATGGTTGACAGCTATGCTCAGAGGCAGTATGCCTCTGTATGAGAGATAGCCAAATATGTCAATTAAGATTTCTCTCAGTTTCTCATTTTACTAATCTTAAATTTAGTTTTCCACAATTCCATATCAGTTTGCTATAAAAAAAAAATCCTAATGAAAATGTATTAGAATTTTAGTGCATTTTCTCCTAATAAACACATTTTTGCAAAACAATTTCCTCTAATACAATACATTTTGAATGTTATTTTCACTAAATGCGTGCTTTGCCCCAGTATATGCATTTTTGTATAGATTACTTGGATGGAGAACTGCAGTGCAAAATTCAGAAATGCATGAGCTTTTAAGGATGGCTTTTTTTTTTAGTTCACATATTGTTTCAGAAAGTGTTAATTAGGCAAGTTTGCATATCCATATCATCTGTCTGTCTATCTAATCAAATTACTCCCTCACCCCTACTCTTTATACCAGTTTCTGGAATCACAGGTGGGGGTAGCACTGTTCCACTTTGGTTCTGTTTGTGGGCTCCTCACTGGCACGTGGTTGGCCACTGTGAGAACAGGATGCTGGGTTAGATGGGCCTTTGGTCTCATCCAGCAGGGCTCTTCTTATGTTCCTACCAAACAATTGGTTCAAAATTAGTTTGTCAATTAGAACTGAACCATAAAGTTGGGGAAAAAAGTTGGTGTTTTTTAAATCTGCACCAGAGCTGAACACAGTTTTGTAATGGTTCTGTTATCAGCTGCATATTTTCAGGATATTTCTCCAAGAGCAAACTGAAAAAGGAATGTGAAAACATGCCAATCAAGCAAATGGCAGGAGGTAGAAATGTGTTGCATGTAACTCAGCTGAGCAGTATCCTCATTACATAATCAAAGTTTCATATAAGCTTTGATAACTTTTCCCATTCTTCATGTTTCCCACAAAGGTATGTAAAAAAAATGGCAAGCTTTTCAATAGCAACAAGCAGCCGTCCTTTCAACTGCTTATCCCTGCAAGGACCATGATTTTTTAAATTAAAAAAATCATACAAATGTAAAGGATAAGTACACTCAATGCCTGCTAAACAAAAACATTCAGATGGGTATTTTAAGCCAGACTATTTATTGTTGAACAACAAACAAACACGGTAATCAGTCTTTAATGAAACAGAACACAAAGAGATTTTGATTTAGTGTTGTTTATGCAAAATGAAAGGAACATAAACCACTCCATAATGTGGAAAAGAATTATAGTGTAATTGAATAAGAGCTGGCTAGATCCGGAAAGTGTCTATGAAAATAAATTAGAAAGCTGCAGAAGCTGCTGAAAGGACAGAATGCTGCTAGGGTATAGCTTGGTAAAATAAGACATGCAACCTGTGTGCATTTGTCTCTAGTAACTGGGGGAGGCCAGGATCTCTGATGGAGGACAACAGAAGGAGCACAGCAGGAACAGGCCACACAGTTGTGTGAGAAGGTAAAGGTGTGATTGTGAAAGAGAAGAGGTTTTAGCAGGAGAGACTGGATTTAAGTAGATTTACCTGAAAAGTCACAAAGAACAGGAGTGCAAAAACAAAATGCATTGTGTGTGGTTGCCCTCTCCAGGCATTTGTTCTATAAGTTCAGATAACAGGTGGAGAGGAACCAGGGCCCTACCCCCATGAACATCTCCACCAGGTCTCATGACCTCCACCCATTCAGTAGCACTTCTGAATGGGAGCGCTGCATTAATCAAATATTTATCCAGTGTAG